GGTAGCTGCTTGCCCAGCATGGCACAGCGACTGCCGGAGCTCGCGCGGTATGCCATTGGTGCGCGTCCGCGGCGGCCGCGGTATGCCAGGCATGCCATGGGTATGCGTCCGCGGCATGGGTGTGGTGCGCGTCCGAGACGGCCACGGCATGCCATGGGTGCGGTGCACGTCCGCGGCATGTCATAGGTGCGCGTCCGAGACGGCCACGGCATGCCATGGGTGCGGTGCGCGTCCGCGGCATGCCATAGGGCGCGGCCGAGACGGCCACGGCATGCCATGGGTGCGGTGCGCGTCCGTGGCGGCGACGGCATGCCGGTTCACATGTCATAGGTGCGCGTCCGCAACTGCCGCAGCTCCGCATGTCGCAGCTGGCTGCGCCGAGCAACTGGGCCACCGCTCCGCGCGTGCTCGCCTCACTGTACCGCCCATATCTTGCCGCGCGTGCTCGCCTCACTGTACCGCCCATATCTTGCCGCGCGTGTGCGCCTCCCGCCTCTCAGCGCTATGATCAGTGGCTGCGCCCTGCGGGGGAATAGCCACCGTGAGATCGGCGAAATACCTAGGACTGTACTACTTTGGAGCAAAATGATCATTCCCCGGCCACAATCAATACTACAATTACGCGATTTCAATTGTCCATTATGGTTCTTAACAGTACGACCTACCTGCTTTTGGACAGATCTGACAAGGTCGCCGGTATTCTTAACAAGAGGTTAGATGATGATCTGGGCGAAATAGTCCTGGAAATCCATAGCAGCGACGAATCTACAGTGCATCCAGCAAATGTCGTTCTCATACAAGCGCTGGCTATTTCCCGTGCTAGTAACACCATTTACCCTTACTCTGATTTGGTTGATTGGTGGGTGTCCAGGCTCGAGAAAGATGCAGAATTGGTACGCCAAGGTGAACAGGGTGGAAAATACATATTCCTCCTGAATAACACATTTGATGTTCTGCAAATGGTGCGGCGTCAAAGAGCATCTTCTGCAAGTGACCAACTCGCGAGTAGGCTCGGTTCAGTGATCGAGGGGTACAAGAGGAGTTACTTGGACGAGTGTTGGGCTCCTCTGAACCGTTTAAACTTGGAGGAGTTTACTGCCCAATTTCTTGCTACATGTGAATGTCAGATGACATGGAAGGTTACAGCTGAGCTCAGGTACCAACTGCGGCGGGAGATCGTGGATCTGATTGTTCCATCGTATGAGGTGTCCTTATCTGCACTGCGGGGCCTGAATGGACCTATGGTGGGCAACAAGAAACAGAAGAAGTATACTGGTGAGCAACTGGAAGAGGAGATCAGAGGATTATTTGAAGGGTGAACGGCTAAGCTGACGGGTGAGGAGAGGACACTGGACCTGTACACGGCCGTGGCATTTAGCATATCTTAAATAAAAATGGCCTCCTGCCATCATGTTGCAGGTTGCACCTGTGCCCATGTAATTTTGTCTCGCGGAAAGGGTCTGTTTTGTTTTGTAATTTGTATTAGTTGCATATATATAGACGCCAACAGTGAGTAGTAGTACATAGGAGACCAGAGTCGGCAAGCCAGCTTAAATTTTGTGAGTCGCAGCAAGAGATTGAATAATACCAGTTATAGAAGGTAGAGTTGGTATCAAGCCATGACGTGTAGGCTAAAGGTAGAGTATATGCAAAGAAAATTGATAGTTTTGTTTCTGTTGTCATGTACTCCCTTCGTTCCTAAATATAAGTCTTTGTAGAGATTCCACTAGGTGATTACATACGAAGCAAAATGAATGAATCTATACTTAGAATGCATCTATATACATCTGTATGTGATTCATAGTGAAATCTCTACAAAGACTTATATTTAGGAACAGGGGGAGTATGACTCATTGGGCATGTTCTGAGATATACTAGTATAAAGAAAAATGAGCACACATTCTCCTCACATTCTCTCCCATGTAAGTACGATTTTTCTTCGGGAAACGTTGCGAGTCGGCAGACCGGCCGAACTTTGGGCCGGCTCGCTCGCCACGCTGGCTCCGACGCCCATGAAAACAAACCCCAGCGTAAGACATGTGTACGTGGTGGACCTCACATAACCGCCCCCCACTCCTATCCTTATCCTTTCCCTGGCCTTTCCTTTTGGCTTTTCTTCAACCTCCAGCCGCATCCTCTGCTCTCTAGAACCATGATTTTCTCTCCTCCACGCTGCTCACCAACCACCACAAGCTCCCCTCACTGGCGGCCAGTTTGTTGTCGCAGAACCAGCAACTGTTGGCGGGG